CTGAAATGCTGTGGTGTTTTCTGAAATGCTGCGGCGTTTTCTGAAATGCTGTTGTGTTTTGTGAAATGCTGTAGAGTTTTCAGAAATGCTGTAGTGTCTTGCACTTCAGGGCCACCGTAATTATCATTTATATTTATCTGCAACAATGGATATCAGGAAGTGGTTCATGAACAAAAAGAGCTCACAAAAGGAATATGGCAACTCAGCGCCAGATGCAGGCACATTAGAAGACATCAGTTACGTTACCAACGAGCTAGCAAGCCAGCCAGGGACAAGGGAGGCTGGCAATCAATTGTATTTTGAANAAGATCTGGATTTGGTCCATACTAGGATTCAATTTGTATACTTCCAAAAGTACTCCCTAAACAATGTAGTGTCAAATAGTCACCACAAACCGACTTGGATGAAACAATTGTCGAACAAAGGACTGCCTTTTGTGTTGTTCGCAACTCTTTTGCCCCAGGCCTATCTCTTGGCCAGAGTTTCAGTCGGTGGGCTACGGTCTGAGGCGACAAAACTCCCGAACTTATCGGGTGAGGGGGATGTTGATGAGGGAGGCCCAAACGGCCGCCTCCCCCAGGCGTATAACCCTCCCGACCAAGGTTTGGTTGCTCACCACCTCCTGCCACCACCTCCCCCCTCACCCATTAGTTCGGGAAGTTTGTCGCTCAGACGTAGCCACGGCGAACTCTGGCCAGGAGATGGACTGGGCAGAGTTGTCGACACCACAAAGGCGGGCGTGTGCATTTTATTATAAAGTTGTGTATATTTACAGACTGTTGCAAAAACTAAGAAGCTTATAAACATCAGGTTTAAAACTAAAAGAGCTTTACAAAAAAGTAACACAATGAAAGATGTTTGGAGTTTTATTTTAGTTATTAATTTACATTTTTTTTCTAAGAGATGCTGATTTGAAACCGTTGTTACATACAGCTACGGCATTTCCTGTTTCTGCCGGAGAGAGGGGAGGCCGTCCCAAAGCTTGCCGCTGTATTTATACACTTAACCCTTAATGGAGGGAACTTCATTCAGCTTCGAGTGTGGCTACAGACAGAGTTCACTCCGTCACGGAGGGGTAGGGTCGAGGGAGTGGTTTGGGATTGGGCCTAAGACATTAAGACACTAATGGATGGATGTACTCATTTTAAGATTTGTCCAATTTGACTAACAAAATACTGTCCACCAAGTTGAAAGGCTTGAGAAAAATAGAGCCCAGAAAAATGAATAAAACTCATAGCAGGTTATTTGTCAGCACTTTTAGAGAAAATACTTTGCTAATAAAAGTATTTATTTGGACAGACCTTGGGATCATCTCCAAACTGTGCAAACTGGATGTCATTTAGCAGGCTGCGAGCGGTCTTGATGATGTCTTTGCACTTCTTTGGAGTTTCCTCCACTTTGCCTGCCAGGAAAAGACAGCATCCTCCTGTCACCTGCAGGCACGTGCACCAGGTTAGGAACCAAGCTGAACAACACATGTACAAATGATGCTATGGAAGACTTAATAACATGAATATGGAGATATTTCACCATACACCCACCAGGAATTCCATACTTACATATCTAGGAAACTGCTTGAAGGAGTGGAACATGTAGAAGCGGTGGAAGTAAACAATCCCAGTAGCCAGTGTGTCATAGTGACTGTAACCGTAGAGGTTAAGAAGTCTGACGGAAGAGTTTCAACATTTGAACAGTTGTTATTTATCAGTCAGTGAAGAAGGGAGGAGGAAAAACCCTGTCTACGAAAAAACTGTTCTCATGTGGACGGGTGTTTAACAGAGCCCCCCACCCCACACCAGTGGTGTAAAGTAACTGAGTACATTTACTCAAGTACTGTGCTTAAGTACAATTTTGAGATACTTGTACTTTACCTGAGAATTTAAATGTTTTGCTACATGGTTCTTCTACTCCACTAAAGTTCAGAGGTAAATGGTGGTACAGATGTGGATGAATGATGTGAAATCTAATCAAGTGTTAAATCAGACTTTAGTTCCACCTGGAGTAAATCCACAAGCTACCCTGCAGTATACAAAGTCATCAAGGCACACAGGGGATAGGTGCACCTTTTTACCAGCTTGGAGAACCCACTTTATGATGATCAATCATTATAAAACATATCATATCTATTATTCAGAAATGGACCAATCTGCACAATGACTACTTTTACTGTTGCTACTTTAACTATATTTTGAAGATAATACTTTTCTACTTTTCTTGAGTAACATTTTGAATGCAGGACTTTTACTGTAAAAGAGTATTCCTACTCTCAGGTACTTAAGTACAATATTTGACTACTTCTCCCACCTCTCCCAAACTATCTAACTTTATAATGCCCTTTAATCAATACAACTAATAGTATTGCTAGTCTCTTTGTCTATATTGCTGCTGATGGGGATCTGCAATATAACTAAAAATACAACTTTGTCAAATGATACATTGCTTTACTCTGTAAGTGTGTGTATTGAAAGCCACAAACTGTAAGCACAATGCAAGCCAGTATCAAGAACCACCCAATGAAATGTATGTGACATACTGAGTAATAGTATACAGCTGATGGTATGATTTAATAAACAACTCGTATCTGTCTATTTAGTAGGTGCTAGGTTCTCCTACTTTAACTATATTTGCCACATAAGGATACAGTCCGAGCCGTGTGCCAACATCAAAGATGTAGCGAGCCCCCTCTCTGCGGTACCGGGCCTCAGTGGCAGGGTCCAGCCCGTCGGACTGGGACGGGGTGTGGGCCAAGTCCTTCTTGTCCCAGTACCAGCATGGTTTGATGTGTTCCAAGGTGGCCGGGTCATTCCTGTCCCAGAATAACAGGGGCGTGAAGAGGTCCAGGGGGGACAGATCCTTTCGGTCCCGCTCACTGCAGGACTTCAGGCTCGGATTGAATATTCTTCTTGTAATTGTGTGAGAGAAAACAGCATCTAACCTGCTAGCCACAACTATGGCCAGTTGGCGGACGACATATGCTAGAAGCTGCTGTTAACACATCCACTGTACGGCAATGGAAGTACCGAACCTATTACTCATAACACGACCCACTGTGTTGAACCTAATGGCTGCTGCCTTTACACAATAATGACAGTAGTAAACACGTGTGAAATGTCTACCAGAGAAATCCCATTGTTGTATAAAAAGTTGAATATCCGACCTTATTCCTTTGTGGATTTAGTTCTGATGCAAGCGAACCAATCCATCCAAACAAAGACCAGCGGAATACACTGAGAAAGATTAGTGATTGACACGTCTTTCAACCAATCATCGAAGCTCAAACATTTATGGTCATTTTAATCAGTCTAAAAGTATTTGTCCAATTGCAATGCGCATGGAGAGGGAAATAGCAAAACATTTTACAGAGATCAGCATTTCAACCAGTCAATGCCATGTTCCGGGAGTTGCTTCCTTACATTACTTACCCTACAACCAATGAGAATGCCAGAATGCTCTGACGTATATGTGGGCGTAGTTTACACTACTCCAATCACACGCGCGATATAGTCAAGGTTGGGTGCATCGCAGGAACAGAGGAACTACTGCTGTCACTTAAAAAAAGGTATGACTGAATTTTAGAAATAGCTTTTGGTTTGGTTAAGTATAGTCCAGACTTGATGTTGAGTGTTATTCTGTAATGACGCGTGCATATTGTATGGAGGCAGTTGTATTTTAGAAGATATGTCTTACTAGCCAGCCAATCCAGTAGATTAGCCCCTTCTAAAACTCAGGCTGATCGTTGTATCACTTGACAGCTGAGCAGCTAACAGCTAACAGCTAGCCTGCTTCAGACAGCCAGCGTACGGTACCCGCCTCGCTCCAATTGCGGCTCTGCTCGGATGGGCGTGATTCCTCAATGCTAATGCTAGCCTAGTAGAAAAGCTATAAACGACCCGAGGTGATAACTTGTAACGTTAGTAAACTTAACTCTAAGTTGGAGGATAAACCATGCTAATACATTACCTATGCTACGTCCGAAATAAAGGCCTGACAAAAGGCGTTACTTTGCTTAAGTTTTTAGTTTGCTGACATGTGAAGTTAGCTATGTGAGGCTTGCCCTGGAGGGCTGTAACGGTGTCATGGAGGAGGTCTGAGAGCTGTTCTTACTGCTGTTAGTCCCGCAAATCTATCAATCTTTAGCTCTTTTATCTCGCTGAGTCTTGTACAGGAACACACGACAATAACAAAACAGTCTAACGACATTATTTGTATTTGCTCAGATGATTTTACTGTTAAAAAATAAAGATGGTTTTGCAATATATCCATGGCTGTCTTCTAAAAACGTATTGCCTCATTGCGGATTTTCCTGATAGTTAATACAAAATAGTACTAACATTGTTATCTTTAATTACGCCATACTGCCACCGTTTGAACTGGGTTTTCCAGCTTTTACTCACAGACGGAATTCATTTTTGCATAAAAATAGGTAAAGCTGCATGTATCAACATTTTCATATTAACTATAGTTTGAATATTTAAGTTTAATCTTAAAGGTAGAAGTGGAGCTTTTTAGCCCCTTTAGCTCTTTAGTTTTATGTCCGGCAATCTTTGTTCTCAATTTGAATCAGAGGCAGCTTCTCAGAGTGAAATACACTTCGATTATTTTACTGTCACCAAATCAAATGACTATTTGCACTATTGAATGTTCTTTCTGTTCAAGTGTCTTACAAAGAAACAGCCAGCCAAACTGCCTCTTGCACCCTAATCCCCCACACTTCCACTCCATGTATGTGTGGAGGGTCTGCCACATGAAGTGCCGTTCCAATTCAACTATTGGGGAGGGGAGTGGGTTATCAAGCCCTCCAAAAAGATCTGCATCAGTCCTGACTTCACCTGCCGCCCTACCTGACCGACCAACACTGTGTGTGTCCGTCAGGAAACACGCTGTTAATACAAAATACCAACACATTTAATAATATACCATCCTAAAATAAACATTACCTATCAATATTTACATCCCCATCAACCCGTATGAGAACACTGTGCTGGCAGTAGGCTGTTCCTGGATCCGACCTCATCAGCGCACTGTTCCTTCTTGCTGTAGCCTACTTTATGTTCAACAGTTGAAGAATGACTTATCTTGTATAAATAAAGAAAAAGGGTCCTTATGTGTTGTTTAAAAGTTCAAAGGTGATGATATTAGACACACTTGATGTAGTATCCCAGAGCTGAGTACACTTGCTAGCAAAAATGTCAGTTTTTGTATTATTTGTGCCAAATAGAGCAGCAAGCAATACTACCAAAATGCAACAGAACTCATTGAGTACACTAAACCAACATGCGCCTGATATTGGTTATTGATCCAGGCATTACATTAGGTCACATGCCTTGTATGCTGTTACTGTCAGAATACTCTGTGGGATGTTGGTGACAGTCCTGTTCAGGGACCAAAAGATTGGACAATCTTTGTGGCCATCCTTTGTGTTTATTTGCACACCATAACAATAGGAATACAATAAGGTCATAATATGCTAATGCAAAGTGATTCATTTGCAGTTAACAGCCAAGCGTTTTTTTTAAGTAGTGAGTGAACTCTAGTGCTAAGGAGTCTAAATCGGCGCAATAATTATATTCAGGGGCCTAAATGCTTTTTCACTGTTTACTGTTGTTTTATCAGAATCAATCAGAAGTAGTTACACGCTCGTGATTTGTCAACGGGTGTGGGGAAGGCCCTCGTGAATTGTTGTTGCAGAAAGAGAGGGGTTTTAGGTTGCCATGCTGTTGACGGTCTTATTATACATCAGAGATGAGAGAGAGAAAGAGAGAGGTTAAGCGATGGAGAGAAAGGGAGAGAGAGATTGAGCGAGGGAGAGAACGTGTGCAGCGGTCTGCTTGCGCACAGAGCAGGAGTTTGTGAGAGAGGGCTTGAGAGTCAATTTCTCTTCAAAATACAATTGATTGCCAGCCTCCCTTGTCCCTGGCTGGCTTGCTAGCTCGTTGGTAACGTAACTGATGTCTTCTAATGTGCCTGCNCCAGCTGCAATGGTACAGATGTGGATGAATGATGTGAAATATAATCAAGTGTTAAATCAGACTTTAGTTCCACCTGGAGTAAATCCACAAGCTACCCTGCAGTAGCAGGGTAGCTTGTGGATTTACTCCAGGTGGAACTAAAGTCTGATTTAACACTTGATTATATTTCACATCATTCATCCACATCTGTACCATTGCAGCTGGCTTCATTATAATTACATTTATCTATCACGGGGGCGGTCTCAAGTCAAGCTGGAGGTTTTCCCTTGAGCGAGGGCAGATCACGTACCAATCACGGCCCTCGCGTTTCAAACTTTCTGAAATGAATCGCTACATCTGTAGTTATAGATAGTGTAACATCTTGGAGAATACAAGATCTTGGATGACTGAGCTCACGTCGAGGACGTAATGCATGTGTGCAGGTTACATGCCAGTTGAATAAATATAGACACTCGGAATGAGAGAAGGAGTGCGCGTCGTCTATTTATGTAGACAATTATATGTTCATAGAACAGAACATTACAGATATATCGATAGAGAGAGATAGAGAGATTTGTACCTAAACAAAACACAAGTCTAACAACAAGCATTTAAATCAGCACTCTTACCGATATTTTAAACTTCATGCTATCTGCACAACCTATATCATATGAAAAGCTGGGAGTCCGCAGATTCTATTGGTATAAGTTTCATCACTGTGCGATCAAAACTCACTGTTCTGTAAGATAAATAAAAGAACATTGTACCTTGAAAATCTATAGCGGGTACATTTTACCCGTTGGTGGTTTTAGGTATACAGCGACCTCTGGCGGTCCTAGTGTTAAATAAAAAAATAACCTTAAGGGACAACTTGAATGCTTTTTTTTCTCTTAACGCATTGCATAAAGATCGGATCGGGAAAAATCGGTATCGGCAAATTGTCAAAATCAAATGATCGGAATCGGATCGGGAGCAAAAAAAGGTAGATCGGGACATCCCTAGTAATAACTTCATAATTAACTACGTCCGAAAGCAGAACTCTAGGTCAAGTAATTGCAAGTTTCTTCAGTGCACATGTCACAAAATGAGATGCATTGTGGGACATGTAGTTT